CGTACTCCCCGTCGTTTGATATCATTCCTTTTTCGACGCGCCAAGATGATCCATTGTTTCGATATCACTTTTCACCAGAAGTGACCAACTACGACTATGTTACTTTTGCGACGAACTTCGCTGCCACTACTATATTACTGCGCCTCGGCTATTAAACCCAGAACTTCCGCATTTTCTATGAAAATGTCGTCTTCTGTTACACCAAAATCGAAGACCATTCTTGGCAAAACGTTGGTATCAGTTCCCGAAGCAATTAGCCTGCACGATGAAAGCGACGACAGCAACGTAAAATTCATCGATGGGTCCTGGTGGTTGGGCAAGGATCGYAATGGCCGTGAAGAGTTCGAAACAGGTCCTCGMATAACAAAGGCTCGGTATTTRGACATCGATGACGTATCCTCAAAATCAGCCGACAATTTGCCGCACATGATGCCGTCCTCAYCCTTGCAGAGTGCCGCGATGGATGCTATGGGCATATCGAAAAGCGATCACGTAATTGTGTACGGAACCTCGGGGTGCATGTTTGTCACTCGAGCGTACATGCAAATGAGAATCATGGGGCATCCAGCGGAACTGTGTCATCTTATGGACGGATCTCTCGATGAATGGATCGACGCYGGAGGTCCAGTTGAGGCGAAGGAAAGTTCTCCCAGCCATCCCGTGATTGACGCCAAGAACCTAAAAGAAGCATCCGCATCCTACACGGCAACAGACCCTCAAAACATAATCGAGATGGAAGAGCTCAGGAGTTTGATAGAAGAAGGTAAGACCACGGGCGAGGACCCCAGTGTTCGAGTGGTCGATGCACGGTCGGAAGGGCGCTTCACAGGGACCGCACCGGAACCCCGACCGGGCTTGCGGGGAGGGCATATGCCGGGCGCCATAAATCTGCCAATTACCGACCTGCTAGATCCMAGCGATAAAGTTCGATTCAGATCTAAGGAGGAATTGCAACGAATTATTCAGGAGGCCGGGATTCCGCTTCCACTTAATCCTAATGGGAGCAAGATCGTTTCGTCGTGTGGCAGCGGGGTCACCGCCTGTGCTTTRATGACGGCATTTGACATCCTGGATGAGGACTCTAGCAACGTGTATCTATACGATGGAGCCTGGATTCAATGGGGCGGTCAGTCCGATAYGCCCATTGTCTTAGATTAGCGTCGAAAGGATTGAATGGCGCAAGCCACTAAAAAAACTAAGGACTGCTTTGCATACGCACAATAAGCGAACAGAAAYACCAGAAGAAGGCCCTGAAYACAATAATAATATGCAGGCTCGTATATTATGGTYGAGAAACCTCGAAAGTAATCGATTGTTGTTATAGGCATTCTCATTCACTCCATCACATCCTTCATTCAATATCCTGCGTGTGACGTACAATTACTATTGTTTTTTGACTGCGAACTSCATCGCACAGCAACTCCACAATCTTCTTCTGACACRCTGTTGGCATTGGGTGAATCAATAGTACCATACGTGCTACTATTATGATTGTTTTCGTTRCCTCCTTGGTCGAAATAGTTATTGATGCAGGGATGTTMAGTGAAGGAAGGAACTCCATGGCTTTCAATCGAAAGCCTCGAGTATCTGCGGGGATGGCAACTAGATCGCCTCTGCAGCACGGACATCCCAATAGCAATGAGTGCGGTTACAATTAAAGTTAAGATCATGACGATTGCAAGAATTTTTCCAGAACTAAACTCGATACTGACAGACCCTGGTTGAGGAGGATTCATCAATTCCTTCGTATTGGCTGCCATGTTGTCGTGAATCCTTGCATCGACAACACTATTTAGCGTCAACTCGTCGCTACTATGTGAGCCACCATCGAAAATGGTTGAGTGGGGCAAGTGGTTTAATTCTTCGTTTACCTCAGTAATGATTCCATTGTCTTGAATTCTTACATCGACCACACCAGTCGACAACAAGCTTTCGTGAAACGAGCGACTAGTGGTWATTATTGAGATGAGCAAGGGGAGAAARCCCTCGTTTATTTCTTCYCCGAACAMATGAATTTTTACGTCTGCTRTCTGGCAGGAATTAGCGGAAGCGGGTTGAAAAGGACATTCTCGCYCTGTTCCTTCTACAGAGATCACTCCCAGTTGGACTTCATAATTCTTATCATATGCAAGCTTTATTGCATCGTCATGGTCAACCCTATTTTCCGCGTTCGTTTGAGGGATGCATATCGAATAATGYTGTGAAAGAGCTTGGCGCAGTGCCTGGGCAACGTTAGTGTGAAATTGTTCCACGAAATGTTCAAGAGCTACTTCCAAAGTGGTGGTGATTGTTAGAAAAGGCAATCCAGGACACGCTGCCGACCTCTGTTCTTCAGAATTAGTTGTAACTTCTTCGAGCATGGGTGAAGATACAGCTGGTGAGGATGTTGTTTTGCCAGAATGGATGTTGGGATCGTTGCCACCTATCAGATCCAGAACCATGTCCATAGACATAGACATAGACATAGACATTGACATGACAAAGTCTTCGAATTGTAGGATTGCTAGATTTTCTCTATAAGAAGAGAAGTCGACAATTGTTTGAGAATATAGAAAGAGAGGCTCGTGGCTTAGAGATTGTGTTGATTCCTCTTCAATAAAGTTGTACCATCTTGAATGTTCGAAACCATTTTTGCAACAAGAAGTAGCACCGTAAATCTATGCAAACTTACCTATTGTATTCAATATTGTTTTCCAACAATCGTGTGGGCTCTCGACCGAATTCTGTTTCAACTCGATATGGTAGATATAAGTCGTTGATGTCATCTGCACTACACGYATTATTGTTCCCAAAGATGAGCACGTTGACGACAACAAGAACTAGAACCAGAGGAATTGTTGGCATATTGACAATTCGAAGATGTATGTAATGAGATGGATAATGTTAACACAAAAGCAGCCTCGTGTGTGATATTCCTAGTTTGTGAAAGTTTGTGATGAACACTGGGTTGGTGTCTTTTGAATTTGGTTGTACGATTTTCAATCATGATGTGACACATACGAATATGTGCTGGGCTGGGTAAAGGATGTAACGTTTAGGTGCCTTGAATCGTGAAACCGATGAACGGTATTTCTTGATCATAACCTAGTAGCGGGCAATATAGCTTTTAGTCGTAATAATCCCGTGAAGTAGTATGCCAGTSTGTCACGATTGTTTTAAAATTACTATTAGCACAATTAGCACAATCGCAAGCACTTCCTCCGTCCCAAAATGTTGGTCCTAMCAGACGGTATGTACCTTTTGGGATAAAATAGTACTTCGTACTAAGAACTAGTAGAAGCTTAATAATTGGGCAATTTGAATGCTTCTTGTTGTTCTTGTTCTTGGGTTCTTGTTGCAATAAAGAGTGAGGTTATTCACTATCTACTCTTGATTTAGGCTCACACTTGTTGCTGTACTAATCTAATGCAGTTGTAATACTACTAATACTACACTTGTGTGTTAGTCCAACAAAGGACGTTAAGAGTTCCTACTATTACTACTACTACTAGTACTAGTAGCTAGTAGTAGTACTACTAGCTACTACTAGTACTACTACTACTACTAGTACATCTAAAGACATTTCAGACAAAAAGGACAATGAGAAAGGATGAGGAGGACATGGGGGGAGGAGGAGTCATTGTTACAAGAACAAATATGGGCAATACTAGTAGTAGTACTAGCTAGTATCTCTAATAGTACTACTATTAGTAGTATTAGTACTATTATTCTTAATAATAAGAATAACAACAACAACAACAACAACAACAATAACCATAATATTCTCAAGAAAGGAGGAGACAACAAGAAGAACAAGATGATAGATGATGATACTACTAGTAGTACTATGTCAATTAATCAAATGATGTAATAATGAAGTGCTGGTTTGGGATTCACGAGGAGCAACTGACCCTCCTCTCAAACTCACCATGGGTTGAAACTGGTTGGGTTTGTCAGGTAAACCCAGTAAGCTGTATTACTTCATGTTTCTCTTAGTGCAGTTGTACATGATGTGGTTATCTCGAAGACAGAGGCTCGTAGCTGATGCGATAAGCAAATAATGCAGGCACAGAGTACAGWATTGAAAATCGGAGTGCCATGGCGCCAACAATTATTATCGAGTTTCGAGCGTTGCATGCACGTGACCGATACGTAAATTTTTTTAAACGGTCGTTACAATTCAATGGATTGTTATTATTTTTTTACATCGATTTTTTTGTGACGGTTGATCTTTCACTTCTCATGTTACTGTTGAGCGTAACGTACGGGGGCCATACAACATGTGCGTTGATTACTGATAGCCGAGATTCAAACTAGGCATAATGCGACCACTTTTTATTTCTTGAAGTCTAATTCCTCGCTTGCATGCCATAGCATACATTATTTTTAAGTCGTGGAACGAATTCTTGGACTGTGACTGAGAGGAGTAGAGTACTGTACTACCCAATCTCGTCTTTCTACCGTACCAACCCCAGCGAAGGTACCGTATGCACGCAGGACTGGTTTGTACCGTATTTACCGTATTCCACTGGGAAACACAGGAATGRTAGTGCTCCGGTCATGCGAAAAAAGGACAGAACGAGTAATCGTACCGTACGGTACGTACCCGTACCCAGACGAGTATTTGTACCATTATGTGGACTGCACGATTGACAGTGTATCGACGCGGTATCGCAATGGATACTTCGAAGATTCATCGAGTTTCAGAATGCGCACATCCCATACCGTACGTTGATAGTGTCAAGAGTCGCCATGAACCAATCCACATCTCTGCAATACTAATTATCAAGCATYCGACAAACCTAACAAGTACCGCAGTGTGAAATATCAAATTGGTGATTGAATCTTTGGCATGGGTAATCTTCTTTAAACGACGGTACAGTAATCCTCAAAACTTTTCTCTGAATCTAACATTATGAAAATGAAGAACCCTCGTTCTTCGGAACTAGTGTTTTCTGGCTTCTGTCAGATCGAAGTAACTGCCGATGACTTCCGGAAGACCGTCAAAAATGAGGGGGTCGCCAAGGGAAGCGAAAAAAAGAAAAACACTACACACTCGAAAAGCATGACAAAAAGGATAGGACAAATATTGAATTCCCGTAAGAAAAAGTGCCCCACGAATGCCAACGAACATAACGACAACGATAGAAATTCTTTATCGGGATTCAGYAACAATGGTCAACAATCTGTCGCAAACAAGTCCATAGACAGTGGGACAACGATCAACGCTTCAAATCTTCATTTCGAGAAAATATATTCARCGAAGACARCAACCCCAACGTGTGAAATTTCTTCCTTATCCAAAACCGCTGTCGTTGTCGGCAAAAGAGAAGACAATGAACTGATCATTAATGAYAAAAAMAATGAAAACGAWCGACGAGTCCGATCACAGAGAACATGGAAATCTCTGAGGCGACTCGTAAACAAGGGACGAAACAGCAAACAGCAATCGCAATCAGTAGCTTCTCTGGAATACTCTGATACGAAYGCAAGGAAGCCATTTCATAGACGCCACGCCAAGTCTCACGATGGAGCGGTGTCATTAGGAGTGATTCCGTCCTCGTCTTTTCTAAATACYAGTTACCCCATGCGGAAAAGATTTTACAGCGAGGGCATTGGTACAGAAGAGCAAAAACGACAACATTACCGTGCTAACAAGTCTTTTTCAGGAGGAATTCACTATGGATCTAAATCTCGACACGCTTTTGATCAGGTGATTCGCGGCAGATTGGATGGAATCGATTTGCTCAGTCTGGGGCCGGTATGTCGAACTTCTTTGCCCGACAAATCACTCGATATTATGAGTAAAGTTGAAACAAAKAAATCAAATCCTCCAGCACAGTGCAACATCAGCGACGGCGACGATAGTGAAAACGAATCCTTTGACCCCMTCCATTACTCGTTTACCACTCTACAACGTACCKTGTCACCTGGAAAGCTTGTCGACGAAATGATATGGTCATCTGCTGTAGTAGATCAACCTGAAGTTATCTTAGAAGGTTTTTATCCCGGCGGTAATGATCGTTGGAGCGTTCGCATCCCATCATCATCTTCATTAGAAGAGCAACTTGTTTCAAAATCTTCGGAAGCAGCCGAAAATAGTAATCAATCGTTGTCGCCGCTATCGGCATTTATTACGAAAAAAGCAAGCAGTAGTGACGACGACTCGACAGCAGTCTCCTCGTGGCATACTCACAAGACAGATTTCGATGGGAGTACCAACATACCTATTGATGAGCTATGGAATAGTCTTTGGGGTTTGGTTGCTACCCCGCCTCCGATACCCTCTCATATGAACACACAAATGGTAACAATGGTAGCGAAGGCGGCTGATTGCAACGAAGAAGAATACCACATGGTCAATGAGGAAGAAGAAATTCAGAAAATCGTTGAGACGTGCAATGTTCCTGTCGACTTGGATGATGACGCCTTTATTATTGATTGTCCTCAACACCTGCAGTCAATACACGAACTCCTYATGGTACCTCTGCAATCCCGTTGCTTTGATTCAGTTGTATCTATTTTCAAGAAAGTACTGCGGGGATTACAAGGAAACAAAAAGTTGAAGCACCTCAATGGGAGCACTAATCATAACATTGGTATGATTCACCTYTGCCGAGGTAATTATAAAGATGCCATGCAATCATTTCAAAAGGCCGTTGATATTCGAAAAGGTTGTTTACCTTCATATCATCCCGATATTGTTGTATCTCTGCAGCGCAAAGGTATGGCCCAGTTTGGATTAGGTTTGGTGGGCGACGCGTTGGTGAGTTTTGAATCTTCTCTCGCGATTTATACGCCTGTTGACAATACTAGGGCGAAGATTCTGAATAATATTGGAGTGGCGAGATACCAGCTCGAAGATTATGGACAAGCCCTGAAATCGTTCACGGCAGCACTAGAAATTCAACGCCCTTGGATAGAAGGTCCTATTCGTCGAGAATCTGTTGTCTATAGTGCATCCACTATACTATCAAACATCGGGAAAGTTTATCTGGAAAAGGGAGACCATGATTTGGCATATTTTGTTTTCGAAGAAGCTTATTTGATGCAAACTTCAACGTTTTCAAAGGACCACAGTATTGCTCTAAGCAGTTTGGACAACATGGCAAGGTCTCTTGCAAARAACGGCAACTATGTAGAAGCACTGCGGATATTTACTAGCTTGTATCGATCTCAAGAAKCAAAATTCGGTCCCGATAGTGAGATATGCATTGAGACAGTCGGAATCATGGGAATAGCCCATTACAAGCTGTTAGAGTATGAAGAAGCAGAAAAATGCATGAAGAGAGTTGACACATGGCATATCAAGCACGGCATAGATCAATACCATCCGTCGGCATTAATTAAAGACAAACAATTCAAGTTAATCAAAGAAGGACTTCAGGGAAACGAGCCAATGTGGGTATAAAATGAGGAAAGATCTATCCCAATAATACGCTGCTTTATTTCTTATATTTTGCATTCAACATCACCTTTTGACAGTGAGCTAGATTATGATTCTCTATTTTTCTTCCTCAGACAAATTAGTAAAGCAGCGTTGACACTTCAGTGTCAAACCATTWCAATGCTTCCATCCAKTCAAAATACTGGTTCGTACAATTTCGCTTTGGCATCCATTGTTATAATCRTTGTTTCTTTGGTGCTTTCCTTCTTGGACCATCAGTTTCTCGCAGTATCTCCTTAGCAAAGCGAACGAGCCTGGTCACTTCATCTTCCGASGCCTCCCCACTTCCAGCGAACCGCACCCGGCCTAAGTCATCAAGCAAAAAGACGTAGCTTGTCATGATGTTGTGCATGCGAAGGATATCACGAAAATCCATCACTTCCTTGGTTCCAAAGTAGGCCAATGTGCTAGAGTGCTTATCTTCGGGATTATTCCTTTTCATCACTCTTTTCACAGTATTCCGAATTGGATACAATGCCCAGCTTTCTGTAATAGAAACAGTRAATGTCTGTACCCTACTTGATGATTCATCCCCGACTTTCTTTTGAAAAGCTTGCTCGAATGGATCAATCCAAGATGGGATCATTTTGAAACCATTGTCACGATAAGTAACAGCTACTAATGTTATTTTTCCCCCGATGCGCTGCTTGCTCTTCTTYGGCTTTTGGTGTGCCTTTTCTAAAAAGAACAGTGGAAGGTCCAGCGTGGTATCTAAATCATCCAGCGTTGTCAAGCCCTCTAGTGTTGGAAAGAGCTGTGCCTCTGATTCCGGAATAAGAGTTTCGTTCGACAGCGTCGGTTTTTGGTTTGTCTGTTTCAAATCTCTAACCATCCAGAAGTACCCATGGGCTAGCTCAAGTGGTATCTTTCGAGTATTTCCAGACCATTTGTATGTTTTGTATGTCAAATTCCCGGGTAAAACACCGTATCCAAGACTATCGGGATTTACTTGGATGCCAGTTATTCTTTTTGGGTTTGCGTCTTCCAAACGAGTWAGCTTCGCAAATTCTTTCTTTTTGTTTGGAGAAGAAGAGGAGCTGGAAGTAGAAAATAATGCGAGTCTACTTTTCATCGGGATGAAATCGCTTCGCACATTGCACGCTCTTCTATTCATCAGTACCATGGTTGAACCAATTTTCTCGCTTCCTGCCGAAGAATACGGATGGCACTGTAATGCAGAGGAAAGCGACCGAGCAAATCTCTGCGTACACACATGCGACGTCGGGCAGGTTAAGACTAGGCGTCGAGCTACAAGTCCCATGGCAAACACTAATTACAGTTTCTTGTTTCGAAGAACTCTTTGGTTACGACGGATGATGCTGTGAACTACTTCAAGATGTCCCGGTACGACCGATGTATGAGGAATCATTGATGGTGGCTGATGATGTTTTCCATCGACTACGTACTCGTACGTATTCGTACGATAGACACTCGTTCGAGTTTGTGTGCTGTTTGGATTCGTACCGTACTGTAACTGAGAAGCTGAACTACTGTACTGTATGCGAAAGGTACAGTAGTGTACACTACATACGGTACGTACGTGAGGTAGAAAAAGCTATTGGTTCTTGGTTCCAAGCATGGATTCGAGGTAGTACTGTATCTATGCTTGGTATAGTTCGTACGATTAAATTAAATCAGCCGTTGGAGGACTTTTCTCGAAGAAATTTGAGATGATTCTCACAAAAAAATCATTCTTTAAATCGATGCTACCTTGGAACGTTAAGTACGGTTACCCTGTACAGTACTTGGTACTGCAACACTTCGTAAAACAGAACACTTCGACAACTTCCTCTTCGTCTGCAGTACGAGTACTTTCGGGTGGTATCTTGAAAATATGAAGTACAGTAGTACTTCTACTTCGTAATTTGTAACCCTCGACAAATCGGAAGAAGTCATATCAAAACACTTCACGTAAAATCCAGAAGTAAAAGCAACGAAGACAAAATGGTAGACAAGAAAGACGAAGACAAAACCACAAAAAAATCTGATGCGCCTCCTAAACGGCGGCGAAAGGATATCCCATCTGTGGATTATTTGTTGAAGCACGGCGATCCGGATACGGCCCATTTGCCAAAGACAAATTTTGAGAAGTATGGGTATCCGTTTATCTTGGCATTGATTTTTGCAATTTCTCTTTTGATCTTCCATCATGCACCCCACGAGAATGCGCGACCCAGAAAGAAATATACCCTTCCTAATGTGAAAACGATGCCCTTTTTCGACAGAAGACCTACAGCTCAAGATGAACCCAAAAAGCAGACCGAATTGTGAGAAACTGGATCGAAGAGCAGCTAGTGAAAACGTAAAAATTTCAGCGATGTGGCAGCTGGACTCCACTCGTTTGCGGTTATGGGTAGTCAAAAATTACTTGTCGCCATGAAAACAATCAGTTCCTAAAATCTACAAATCGGCTTTGCACAAAAGTTTGCTCTCAAGAAAAATCTGTAAATGTATTGCGATTCTCAACWAAGTGAAATTACCAAAAGCAACATGAACGCAGAATCCTCGATCCATTTGAARATTGTTCCTATTCTGTCATCGCACAGGTTACAGTAAAAAATACTTTCAAAATACTATTCTCTTTTTTGCAGTCAAAATCCAAAAATCCTTTTGGTGTGTTTCATTCCCCTTTCATTCCTTAKTCAAAACGGTCYTTGAAGTCGTTTGGCCAAAAATCAGTCGAGTACGGATTCTTGAAGTCATTCTCAGCATCGGGAGGATGAAACCAATAATTGAATGCCATGTGCCCCTTAGTTTTCCCGCTGCTGTCACTCGAAGACCTGACTTCGTGAAACCATGAGGCCGGCAGATAAAGCAAGTCACCAGAACGACATGTGCAAAAAGCTGGGGTTGCATCCAGTATGCTTGGGAAGTCACTTTTAAGTTTATCGTTGTTGTCCAAAAGATATGGGTCGATTTTGCTGAAATTGTTTGGGTTCTTCACTGTCTTRTCCACGAGTCTAAAAGTGTTTTCGTCGTCGATTCCAATTGCTTCTTCCTCTTCGCTACTTGAGGACAACTGGTCGACWTCAATCCCTTTGATATCCTCTTCTTTGGCAGCTTCGAGATGAAACTCTTCTTCGTTGTCGCCATCCATACTGCCTGTCTCTGCATCAAGTATTGCCTCCATGGCCTCGTCTAGCAATATTTCGGCCCTCTCCAATTCTTCTTCGGCACCAGGCAATCCTTCCCTCACAGCTTTCTCTGCCTTGACAAGGCGTTCTTCTGCRTCATTTTTTGCCTTTTCTGCCAAGGCTGCGGCGTTTGACTGCATATCGGCACCGTATGCCGTCGTTAYTTCACCCTCATAGTTTATCCTTCCGTTCTTGTGTACTTTAACAAGTTGGCCCCTTGTATACAATTTTTCGGTGTCGGCAGGACTGAACAACCGAAACGTTTTCGTTCCACGAAGAACTATGTAAAAGTTGTCGTGATAGTCGTGATGTAAGCCAGACGAAGATGCATCTCTGCTGTTACCGATCCATAGATTAATGTTTTGAGGGACAAGATTGCCAGCAAGTTTTGGGCGGAGAGGGAAATCTTGATCAGTCCCCTGACCTTGAAGCTTTTTCATGAACGACGACATTAAGTCAGGTCGTCCATCGTTGCTAGCTGCCACATCTTGTGTTGTAAGATAGTGCATCGTGTCGCCTTCTTCGATGAGTTYCATGAACTGGCGAAACGATAYAGCTATTTCATTTCCTCTGCCAAAAGATTCGCCGCTGCTGGATCTTTTTTCGACCATGATAGATTCGTCACCTGCTCTTGCGATCATATGTTCGTTGCTGGATCTCCATCTATTCAAATTCATCAACTCGCTGGGAAGTWTGCCCCTTAAAATCACGGGACGCCTCTGCCGTATGTAATCCGCGTAAAAGCTTTCTGGTGTTAAGCCATCGCCTTCCGTAGATATTACAGGAATCTGAAAGTTCGCATGCGGAACTGTCCACCCGGTGTATTGGTTGGTTTTCTTGTCTTGCTGTGTYGATGCCACATTGCCGTCGTCGTAACTGACATCATTGCTTGCAGTGCGTTGCCTTTTTCTTTCCGGGGCAGAGATATTGTCCTCCGCGGTTGTTTTTGTCATGATTGCGAATCGGTTTAAAAGTCGCTATGATCCTCGAGAAGAACTGTGCCGTTTGCTGTAGGTAWGCTGCAGGACTTCACGAAGAATTAAAACTCGAGCACATCGGTCACCCTTGACATAAATGCTGCTCRTGCTGGTACGCCTCGTACCCGATGAGCTCATTCAGAAAGATTCAAAATCTACCGGCAGGTGATGATGATGTTATGATCGACTGGTTGTTGATGAGTTAAGTTCGAAGTCATGAGTGTGATTGATCATGATTCAAACGTGCATGTTTTTGAAACGTGGTTTAAATAAGGTACAGTACGTGAATTTCAGAACAATCAAAATTAATAAATTAATAAAAGTGATTACAGTAATACTTCTCATGCATAATGCAATATCCCCATGGTGATATCACAAGTCTTGCTGCCGCATCATTCAACATATAGCGCCAGGTACACATAAGCGCAGACTGTCCCTTCTTTCTCACWAAGAACGACTATTAGTCCCATGTTCGCTTGCTTTTGCCATTGCAGTATCTAATATCTCTTACATTCTATTTGGTTTCAGTTTCTTGGCAAGAGACTCAGGAATGTCCATTACCTTYGTCACTATTTTACCCTTCCTTACCTCCTTTGGGCTGTGTTCGTCTGCATCAAACAGCACTTTCTGCTAGAGTCTATTCCCCCATTCGCTGAGCAACTATGTAGACCATCGATAACAACTAATTTTTGAAAATCGATGCAACCAAGGTCCTACCATGATTCCATTGGGAACGATTTACTAGAAAGAGAAAAATGTTGTCCTAAAAGTACC